ATAGTCAGATTTATCCACAATCAGAAGTGTTTCTCTTTTTGTACACAACAAGATTTTGAGAATGTAAAATTAAAGTGAAATTAGTTTATTTTCTTAATCTCAAAAATAGTGGACTATAATACGCTACTTTACGCTAAAATTTGTCATTGAGACTGTGAATTATTTTTTGTTTATCTTAGTACAAACAATTCTCGTTCTAGTCTTTGACAGCCTCATCTGGACCGAAACTATTCCTATACTTGTCAACAATGAATAGTTGATTTAGCAAAGTACATTTAGCTTTTTAAAACCTGTAACGCATTGACCGGTAATTATAAACTGTTTGAGTGGTATATGTGAGACGTTAACATCGGAACTGGCTCGGCTGAGACTGCAAAATCAAAACGGAGTCTAAGTGCCAAGTCGAAGTGGCATAGCCACTCTAGTTAAACTGGTTAATTTTGTAGCAGTTTATGGTTATGAAGTTACGTCATGGAGTTTTTTAATTATGAAAACGGAAAAACTTTATCAAGCGTTTTGCTAAAGATGGGGTTTTTTTGCGCTTTTAATCTGAAAATGTAACCAGTATCGGTATAAGTGTAAGAGAAGCAGTTCAGTTTTTTCAGACTGAGCGTAACAATTCCGAATTTTGCTTGCAAAAACGCTAATTTTTGGGTAAGAGTTGTACTGACCAAAATTTTTTTTACTCAAGCTTGTAAGCGGCTTAAAAGGCATAACATTAGGACACATGAATTGAATGTTCAAGTTGGTGGTGACACAAAAACAGTGGATGGTTCCGGAGAAACACATTAAACGAAGCTGTTACTGCAGTGTTTTAAACTTAGCTTGGCTTTTTTAGAAAAAGGAAGTTTGGATTTTGGTGTAGGGTAAGCATGAGCGGCAAGCAGTTCTTATTTTTACTTTTATGCCTGGCTTAGAAAAACTAACTGGTCTTTCACATTTTTATCTTTTTTTTATCATCTGCTTTAATGAACGAGTTTTGTCAATCTTTATCATTGAATATTTACACCAGCATAATGAAAAAAGACAAAAACAATTTTTTTCAAAAGTTGCATAAAAATTAGAAGACAAGTAGAATAAATAAACATCTTACTACAATCAACTTGGCAGTATTAGCTGTGAAAGAAGTCCAACTTTTATTCCACCGTGAAAGAATGAAAAAATTTTTGCAATTATCTTCAAAAAAACTGCTTTTTAGAATGATGATAAATGACCGATAGTACGGTTATCTACAGCTAACATATATATCATATTTTTAACAACTTGCTTTTCTTGTAAACAAAAATTTTTTTAGTATTAGCAGTGGTATATATAGGTTTCAAATTTTAGCTATTGCTATACTCGCCATTTTTCAGAAAATTGTGCATTTAAGTCGCTTTATTGCATCTCTGAAGAATTTAGACAATTGAAAAAAAGCATCATTGTTAGGATATAATCCCTTTCACACATACCGACTTTATTAAGAAAGCAAATCGACAGTTCCACAGCAATGTCCACTAAAATATCATTTTCTTCCAAGTGGATCACTGATAAAACTGCCCTTGTCAAGCAAAGCTTTTCACTGAAAGCATTTCTTCAGTTTGAAAAACCACCAACGAATGATAAATGGTTTGTTGTTTTATACATTCAGCAATATATTCTGCTGCAAAACGTTTTTAAAGTACAAAAAAAAAAGGGACGAAAGACTGTAGTTTTGAAGTGCGTAATACTGCAATCAAGAAAAATTGTCAATTTTAAGCGATGCTTCAAAATTGCCTGTAATTTCAGCTTTGTTTAATTTTTTTACGAGTTAACAACTTTGCAGAAAGAAGATTAATTTTTTATCACTTTCTGATTTTGTCACCAATGACTGGTTAAAATATTTCACAACATCAGTGATAGACAACAATACGCAACCGAAGATAAACAAATAGTCTTATGAAAACATGTCTTATCTTTAACAGTGCGCAAAGGGTACACAAGCGTAATTACACACAAGTGGAAAGTAATAGTGGTAACAGCAATAATAGTATTAATAATTAACAACTAAATAAAGAGCAAAAAATTACCATTTTTGTTAGATAGAATAGCAAGGCAAATATTTGCCATTTTCAGTCACCTAAATTTTCTAAACGTCTATGAACAGTTCCCGGACAGTCAAAATTAATCTCAGTGTATTGTAGAAATTTCGGTAACTAAGCTAGAAAACATTTCTTTCTTTGAAATTCATATTTCTTAAAGAAAGTGAGGAGTGTAAATACTATAGTCACATATTTGCCGCTTTTTTCATCAAGAACAACGAGGATTTATAACAGCAGAGTTGGTGAAAATAACAGCAAAATTTTCTAACAGAAAAGTTCATTTTTCTTCCACTTTCTTTTTTTAATAAAGTGTATTTTTTTAGAACAACCATAACAAAACTGCCAGTATCAAACAAATATTAACCCCAAACACCACAACTTTGCGGCCGTTTTACAAAACCATACGAACAGTTAAAAGCTCGTTTAAATGGCATAAAGTTTTGTAGTGCAGTAATTACTCGGTATTCTGGTGGACTGTGATGATATTCTAAAATTTCAGAAAGCAACGTCTTCCTGGATGGTTTTGCCCGACACCACGGTTGCGCAAAACTAAGAAAAAATAGCTGATCATGTGTTAACCTGCTTAATGCGTAATCCGGAAGCCGTATATGCGCTCTTTTCAAATTCGAATCTAATGTACGATAGCTGTGCCATGCAACTATTAGGCCTAAAATTATTATATCTGAGACTTGTATTGCCGTTGTTTAATAAATTTTACGCTCTCATAACTTTCTCTCTAACTCTAGTAAAGAGGAAGCTAACTTCTGGCTGTCAAAAATGTAAGAGGTGTAAGAGGTAATTAAGATGAACAAATTTATCTCCTGTACCTGCAATATCAGCAACATTTTCTGCAGCAGCCCTTCGTCCATTGAGGCATTCAGGGTGAAATCCTGTTCCTTGTAACGGGCATACTCTACTGTATTTTGCAGTCACGCACCTTGCGGTTTTATTTAAGATTCTTTTTGATTCTGGTCTCATCCAATTCTCGAGTCTTCCATATTCATTAAACTGAGTGCCAATTTCGTCAAATGCGTGACTGATCTCATGACCTATTGTTGTACCTAACGAACCATAGTTTAGCGAAGCCGGCCAATGCGGATCAAAAAATGGATGAACAAGTATACCACTTGGCACAGTAAGAGAATTACGTGCGTACTGAAATGATGAATCAAGTTTTAAAAAAATATTCTATAATTAGCAATTTTGAAATTTGGGTCTATATGTAAGTTTTTCTAAAAAATTCAAAAGTCCAATTTAACAAGAACAGAACCACGAACATCAAACCACGAGTTTGGCGCTGCCGCTTCTCCGCAGTGTACAGTTCGATCAGGGAGTTCGTAGAGGGCGAGCGGTTGAAATTTGATCCTGCTGTTAAACCGGTGCAGTTCTTCGCTAATCTTTATAAAACTATCATCTTCCCGAACTCTAAGCCTGCTGTAGTAGTAATCCAACTGTGCGTCATTAGTAATTAAAGACGGTGCACCAATGTTGAGAATCATTTGTCGAATTTTTGTTGCTGCTCTAGACAACGTATAAGAGTCTTTGGCAAATGATCTTTGCAGAACCTTGTAGAAGCTTCCAATAATACGAACAGTCAACCTTCGCACGACCCTGTGAAAACGCAAAAAGAAATATAAATACATTAGGTAACAGTTACATTGAAGGTATAGATACAAATAGTATAAAATTTTTGAAAGTTGAGTAACTTTTTATAATTTTATGAACCATAAACTTGTCTTTAACAAATAAATGTTACGAATGTAGAGCGTGTTTTAACCTGCCAATTTTCCTTCTTTTGTACGCATCAGGAATTGCATTGTTCAGGTACAGTCTTGAACCAGCATGCTTGAATAAGTTCATAAGTTGACGAGCACAAATGTCTTGGACGCTTCCATAATTGTGCTGCGGAAAATAAGAAGATCTGCTAGCGATAAGACGAAAGAATAAATAGTTTATAACAACATTTGAGTCAAAAGTTCTGTAGAAATCATAGCTGAGCTTCCTAAGAAGATTCTTTTTCATTACGATGAAATCGTTGTTAAAACTGTAGAAGTATCTTCTGAGTTCATGGTTCTTTGTTGAGAGACCTTCAAAGAACGAGTTGAAGTCGACAAATAAGTAAATATTGTTGATAGAAGTAAAAGGAGTGTATAAACGACTGAAATTCCTTCTCTCTAAATCATCAGCAGTGTAGTATCTGGCAAGTGTCATTTCAAATTTCAGCATCTTTTCAATGTGGTAGTTGAGGACATAATCAGGTAAAGCCATCTGAATATAATGAAGATACTTTTGGACTGTTCAAGTGCGATTTTTTCTTATGCCAGTGCTGACCATATTTTCTTTAGGATATAAAACTGACTGTTATCAAAGTTGAGGTTGTGTACCATCATTGACACAAACACTTTTTTAAAGCAGAGTTAAAATCCAAATGAGAAGAAGACTTCTATTTAGATTTAATAACTTTCAAAACCTACATTAATTAATTTCCCGTATTCCTTGAGCATATGCAACATGACATTTGCATAATTTTGACCAAAAACGCTCCACGCATTACCCTCCACATATGACGAACGAGGCCAAAGCAGAGTTGGTTGATCAATGTACAACTTATGACGAACCGGATTTTTCCAGTCCACGTAAACGATTGGTGTTAATAGTGTATCAACACCCATTTCACTGAGCATACCAATTGCTTTGCCCAGTGAAGCTGGGGTCAGCCCTTGGGGCCATCTTGTGGTATTGTAAATAGGAAACTGTAAGCCAGATAAAGCTGCAAATTCATTAACAATCGTAACCATATCCTGCATTCTTCGCGACCTCTTTCCATTTTCATTGTAAAATCCAACACACTTTTTGTAGAATAACC